AGACCGACGGTCAGAGTGAGAGGACGATTAAGATGTTGGAGGATATGCTACGGGCATGCGTGTTGGATTTTGGAGGGAGTTGGGATACGTATCTTCCACTGGCAGAGTTTTCGTACAATAATAGTTATCATGCCAGTATCGAGCGAGCCCCGTTCGAAATGTTATATGGTCGAAGGTGCAGGACCCCAGTTTGTTGGGATGAGGTTGGACACCGGGTCATGGGGAGCACTGAGGTAGTGCTCAAGACTACCAGACTGATTCAACAAGTGCGCGACCGACTGCGAATTACGCAGAGTCGTCAGAAAAGTTACGCCGACCGTCGACGTTCAGACCTGGAATTTCAGGTGGGGGATTTTATACTATTGAAGGTGTCACCCTGGAAGGGGATCATCAGGTTTCGGAAAAGGGGCAAGCTAGGGCCCCGATATATAGGACCGTTACGGATTGTTGACCGGGTAGGTAAGGTAGCCTACCGCTTGGAGTTGTCGGCAGAGCTTAGTTAGATTCACAATACATTCCATGTGTCGCAGCTTCGGAAGCATGTCACCGACGAGGCTGCGGTTGTCTCGTTGAATGACATTCAGGTGGATGAGAGCTTGAATTACATAGAGAAGCCTGTTGCAATCCTGGATAGGAAGACCAAGGTTCTTCGGAACAAGGAAGTAAGGTTGGTAAAGGTGCAATGGCAGCATCGAAGGGGTTCCGAATGGACTTGGGAGCCGGAAGAGGAAATGCGAGGGCACTATCCGGAATTGTTCGTTTCAGCAGACTTCGAGGACGAAGTCTAGTTCAAGTGGGGGAGACTTGTAACATCTATTTCGAGGATTGGCTGGAGTTCACCATTTAAAGGGGAATTTTATGCATGGACTCGACGAGTTGGGAGTCCAACTCGTCGAGTTGGGTCGTGACATCTTGGACGCGAGTCGGAACTGACTCGGCGAGTCGGAAGGCCGACTCGACGAGTCAGAGCTGTTTAGAGAAAACCCTAATTTCGGGGTTTCCCCCCTATATAAACGTCATTATCCGCCCTAGTAGCCTCCCTTAGCACCATAGAAGAACGTTCACGGCCGCAAACCCTCTTGTGTGTGAAGTAAGAGCAATTAGGAGCTTATCTTTGAGATTTTGGGGAGGATTCCAAGTTTGAAGAGGAAGTATCAAGGGAGAAGTATTAGATCAAGCATCTATTTCGTGTTGGGCATCTGTCTGAGGTATTAATCTTCTACCATAAGCTTTGATTTCTTTGTAGAGGTTATGGCCAACCTTGAAGAGATGGAAGCAAACTTAGATCTGGACCTATCACAAGGATATGATTCCAGATCTGGACCTCCTTAGGTCCCAAATATCATAAAGTTGCACCTTTTATTAAGCTTATTCCCTCTCCAAGCATGAAAACCTTGTTTGAAGGTTAGTCTTGGTGTTATGGCCATGTGATGCCTTGCATGCACGTAAAGTTTGCAACTTTACGTGTTATCTACACTAGTAGAGTATAGATCTGAAGTTTGGGACCTTGAGTCCCAATGATAAAGGCCGTAAACATAATGGACTAAGGGGACTCGGCGAGTCGTGCAAGAGACTCGGCGAGTCGAGAGGGTTTCCTCGTTCACGGCCAAGGGTTCACGGCCAAAGGTTCACGGCCAAGGGTTCACGGCCAAAGGTTCATGGCCAAGGTTCACAACCAAGGGTGTTCGGTTGGGAGTTTACGGTCGTAAACATAAAGGAACTCGACGGGTCGCTCGGGTGACTCGGCGAGTCAATGAGTTAAGCAGGGAACCCAATGAGTGACTGATTTTACTCGACGACTCAAGGTCAATATGGACTGTTGACCTTGACTATAGACCTTGACTTTGACCAGGGTTGACCCTGGGGGTATTTATGGGATTATGCTGAGTTATTTACTCATTGATTATAGGCAGTTTAGGAGGAGCAGTGTAGGATATATCTGACTTCATTTTGCCAGTTCAGCCTTTGAAAGGTGAGTCTTCTCACCATACCCATGGGTCTAAGGCACCAAGGCCGGCCCATTATGTGATTATGATATATGTGTTAGTCATTATGTGTTTTAGTATGTCATGTGAATATGTGTTTTGCATGGAAGTCCTCGGGGGGAGCCCGTGGCATTGGATGTAAGACCATGCGGGGTAGCCCATGGCTGTCCTAGGTAAAGACCATGTGGGGTAGCCCATGACATTGGATGTAAGACCATGTTGGGTAGCCCATGACTGTCCTAGGTAAAGACCATGTGGGGTAGCCCATGACATTCTTACAGGTTTTATGTATGCATGGCTTATGTGATATGTGTGTAGCTTTAATTAGCTAACAGGATATGTGTATGTATATTGTGTGTGGTATGCTCTGGGGAACTCACTAAGCATTTCTCGCTTACAGGTTGTTGATTTGTTTCAGGTACATCTGAGCCCAATGGCAAGGGCAAAGCATGATGGCGCAACGTGCACTCTATCTCTCTTTCATTGATATGTTTTGAGGACACTCTGATGATTTAATTAAGTTGTAATGAATGCTGATCTGGAAACAATTATGTTGGGATTCCATGATTTTTGCAAATGTGTTTTATTAATTAAAAATGAAAAATTCTTTCGAAAATTTGGGTTGTTACAACACATTTATTAAAAAGATATAAGAGTAGTCATAATTTGAATAGTCAAATCGTATTAATTACAATAAATAAAAACAATCACTCTACTTAAAAACATTACCTTTTTCATTAATATTGCAATGTATATTTATTAATTTTTATATTTCAAACATTACCTTTTTCATTAATATTGCATATTTACTTTTTGAAAAAAAAAGAAAATATTTTTAAAATAAAAAATAATATTCTTTTATTAAAACTTAGAGAATCAATGAATTAATACTATATGGTCATATCGAATAATTACCAAAAAAAACAATTATTTTTCTTTAAAAAAATCATATATCATACATTTAAATGATTTTCAATATATATTTATTAATTTTATACTCCCTACAAAAACTATTTCAATAATATTTCATATTTCTTTTTGAAAAAAAAATAATGAAAAAATAAAAATAAGAAATTTTAATGTATATTGATTACTTTTTAGACTTCCTACAATACCTACATTATACATATTTCATATTTCTTATTTGAAAAAAATCTTATATCAACCGTTTAAAAGAATGCAATATATATTTATTAATTTTTATATTTCAAACATTACCTTTTTCATTAATATTGCATATTTACTTTTTGAAAAAAAAGAAAATATTTTTATGATAAAAAATAATATTCTTTTATTAAAACTTAGAGAATCAATGAATTAATACTATATGGTCACATCGAATTGTTTTTATATATATCAATCAATACATAGTTTATATAAATTGTAGATTCGTTTTTTTAAAACAACAATATTTAAAAATTACAAATTAAGAAAGGATAAACATTATAATATAGGTTGTATAGTTTATATGATTAGCTAATACCCTATAACCGCCAAAATAGGAAAACATTCTTATCTATGCAAATATTGTTAGACAATTAATTACCACATTTAATAACTACAATTACTACCGATATATATACCTCCTCCACAACTTGTGCAATTATCATAAATGTAAAGACACATACAATTTCCATTCATGGCTTTTGAAACATTTAATTGGGAGTTACGCAACCCATCAGAGTATCTTGATCCATATGAACTATATGGTATGTTTCTTGTTGTTAATATCTCATGATATTCATATTTATCTAATTTTTTTTCTTATTCATTCAGGATCTAAAAACTCAAAATACTTCTAATGAAGATAAACCATGGAGGAAGTTTCTTGTGCTATCCAGAAAGAGGCTACCATGGAGGAATAATTGATCATGTTGATTTCATCAACATAACTAATTTCTCTTTTGGAGGTATTTCAGAAAATAATAACTTCTTTTGGTTATGATATCAACAAAACCTTTTGCTACTCTTTGGTTTCTTATGTTCCATTAGATGTTGGTTGAAACAATCTTTAAAATGGTAAGGATATTTTTGAATTTCTCAAAAAAGTGAAAACTGATGGTTTCTTGTGTGTTTAAGAGATATATCTGGAACATCATCGCAAAACTGTTTCAACCTTTTTCCCACACACATTAAACTTGGCCACAAACAGTTATCTTTGCAAACTAATGTATACATTGGTTGCATCCAATCCAAATGTTAATGTGTGGGAAGCAAGAATCAACCTTTTTGACAGATTCAACTTTTGGATTGATGTTCACAAACTCCATGAAGCTTTGGAATACACAAAGTTTCAAGTGAATCTTCTCAAAGGAAACAGCAAGGTGGAAATGTAGGTTTTTGGGTTTTTGACTGTGGTTTTATTAAGAATATTGTTATGTTGTATTTTGTTAATGTTTGAACTTTATGTCATATGTTTATGTAGGCTTATTTTGGGGATTACTGTAATATATTTATAAATATTATCGATGGTGGTTGTTAATGTTGGATAAACAAGCCCTGTTTAATATGTTTATTTGAGATATGTTTATAGATAAACTAATAGTATTTTGTTTGATATACTAAATGTTTGAATAAATGAATTTTAACAAAGTCTAATGCAAATAAACGTTGTTATACTTTTTCTTTTAAGTCGTGCAAAGCAACATCATTTCATTACCTATTGGTTTATTTTTTTTAAAAACTCTGTTATGTGCTGAAATTTCATCAAATTTGTTTTTAAAATATTAAAAACTATACATCTTGATTATTATTAACTTTACCTTTATGAAACCAGATAATACTACGAATGTGAAACAAAAGTATTATAATTAAAACAAAATTTATAAAACAACTATTATGTTTGATGGAATGCATACAATTCTAACATAAATAAAAGAGTTTACAATAAACAAAACAAAACCTAATATATATAAAATACTTCAAACAAATTGTTCTAATGACTCATTCATAACCATTAATATGAATACTTCTACATAATACCAACCACTAGCTCTTTACTTCAACAAACATATTTCATGGACCAAATGCAGCTAACCGAGCTCCTATATTGATAATACCTTCATCATACAATACACACCTATCATTTGTAGAAAGCTTTTGATACTCATCAATAAGTTGCTCAACTTCATGTTTCATTATATTCACTTCACTCAACAGAATTTTCAAACAATATCTTCTTCGAAGCTTTCTAAGTTGATAAATCTGCTCAACAGTTTCCATTTTAAACCCACATGTCCATTGAGCTAAAGCACCTCCCTTATAAGTTTCCATATGACGCATCAAAAAAATCCCACAATCATTACTGTTACCTCTTGTTTTCCACGTCATATACTGATCCACAAATTCCATTTCATATTTAACTGAAAATGCCATAAAATGATTTATCTCTTGAAGATATCTACCAAACATATATTTCTCCATTAACAAATAAAAAAAATATTACAATATGCATTATAATAAAAACTATACTTTTTGAATATAAATAAACCTATAAATTACAAACAAAAAAAATCAAACTTACCAAATTTTTAGTAAGATGAGGGTATCGATTTTCAGAACGTCTATACAATATGTTGTCCAATATGACAGCTTTGCGGTTTTTAAAATAAAAAACAAACATAAAATAGTGATTGTTTTCACATGTAGGAAAGAACACCTAAATATAAAAAATTCAATTTCCCAATTATATATAACCAAAAAAATAATAAAATTTACAAAATAAAACAAAACTTACCAAATCAATTCCTTTTAAATTTCTTCTGACTTTAGACTCTTCCAACCAATGAACAACATTTTCTTTAAATTTGTTGTACTCATCATCAGATTTACATATTTTACTATGCATGTATGCAGGATCCTAAAAACAAAACCATCAATATAATTAACATCATACTAATATAAAAAATATAATCTAATATAAAAAATATAAATAACAAATAATATAAGTACCAATACTGCTGTCTTTAAGAAGAAACATGCAGGACAGCAGGAGTGTCCAAATTTCTTGCTCTCTCATCATAGTTTAACACTTCAACAAAACAAACAATAGTCCCAAAAAAAGATATTCTCCAGGATATAAGCTCTCGAACATGTATCTTTCCCCACGTTGACCATTTATGCTATGAAAAAAATTGTCCCTATTAAAATACAATTAAAATCCATTAAACATATTAATCCTTATACAAATAAATATGTATATATATACAAACACAGTACGTTGGATTTCCACATAAGCTGAATACCCAATTCGATTTGATATTCTACTCCTTCGTCAAATTACTATCAATCTCAACGGCTCGTACAACAAATGGAGACCTAAGCACTGGAGGTAACGTTTTGACTTCTCTTTGGTCTCAATGAAATCATATCATTCTCAAGTATTTTAACGTTTTCGCTTAGATCATGAGAATTTATTACATTTCCTTTGACTGAAGAAGAACATATTCCAACAGAAATAGAATTCTTAATAACATAACTATCAACACCTTATTAACTTTTCTAGGAGTATAGATGTCATCCTCAATTCCTAAATTAAAAGAAGGAATATCCTCAATTACACACTTATTCCTATGAACATCCTCACAATCCACATGCAAATTAGTTTCATTAAAACCAGTTTTGCCATTCTCTTTACCCACACCAGATTTATTAATTCTTAATAGACTGACCAAAATCTCCAATGTCCGAAAACTTATCATCACAACTACTGCTTTTGTCATATGACTCAAAAGTTGTTTCAGATTTAGAATTACTATGACGAAAAGCTTTATATACAGAACATAACTCTTTCACCTTCAATCCATAGAACTCTATTAATTTCAGATTTCCATGCTTTTTAAAAGCTTTATCCACCTTCTTAGACATATCTATTAAACACCACTTAATTTCTGAATGAAACTCCTGAGGATAAAAAAAAAGAATATCAGCAAATTATAATTAATAACTAAATCTGAAAATTTGAACATACATCTAAGTAATCACTATCTGACTCAATTTACTGCATTTTTTTTAATATCAATATACTTAACACATCAATCATGACCAATATCAAATATACAAAATTAATATTACTTACTAAAATTGATCCTCTAGCAACTTCATCAGCACTCTTCAATGTAGCAGATGGTTTTCCAAAACCTCCGTTTGCAATTTTTCTTTATTTCCCTTACTTTCAACTGATCTAACGTCCAATGATTAATCACTGGATATCTTCTAACCATTAACATTCGCTTACATTGAATCCTATCAACATATAGCAACTAGAAAAAAAAACAAAAACTAAAAACAAAATATAAATAATACTTATATTTTAAACATATTAACTCAAATACTATTAAATGAAATACCGTTAGAAACACACTCGGAGCATTGAAGAAAGTTTTTATATCACTTTTGCTCCAAATCAATTTCTCTTCTGTTACACAATATAATACATACGTACAGCAATCAAACTTATCAAACTTATATGACTGAGACAAATACGGTAGAAGCTTCAAATTGCATGCACCTTGTTTGTTACATGATCCAAAACAGGTACAAACAAGAATTATAAAATTTGCAACGAACACCATATCTGCTTCACAACGTTCTATTATCTTTTACACAATATCAGTTGGAGTAATTAACGACAACGGTTTCTTGAATTGATCTTTCCATAGCTCATACCATTCCTCATTATCTCTTACATCAACACCATTTAACTGATCAACTCCCATAGGCAAACCTAACACCCTATTAACATCTTCCCTTGTAACCAAAATAGAAGAAACCTCAGTTTTAATAACCATCTCTAAAGGATCAAAAGAATCAACAACAATATAACATAATTTTGCTGGAATACTTTGTGTCTTCATGTCTAGCAATGATCCAAATTCCAATCGCCTCACACATTCTTTTTGATTTTGATTCATTGAATTCACAACACCATATATATAATGAGGAGAAACACGAGAATACAATGATTTATTTTTAGCACATTTCACTTCCATTTTTTGATAACTTTTTTATCAGCTTTCTTATCTATCTTCTTCACCCTACTACTGATACCATCCTCAAAATCTGAATCACTTGAAAAGTCTATAACAAAAAAAAATAAACATATAGACATTTTGAATTAAAATCATATATTTTGAAACAACAAATCAATAAATAAGCAGCAAAAAACAAAATAAATAATTAAGTTTACCATGATTGTTGTCAATTCTTTTACTAAATATTTTATCCCCTTTGTTAACTAACTTCCTGCTCCTTGTAACTTAAATAATCTAAAATATGTACAAAAAATAAAAATATTAACTTAAAATCTATATAATTAATTAATTCAAATAATAATACACTTAGGATAACTAACCTTCTCTATCAGATGATTTTGAATTTAATCGACCAAGCAAACCATGTTTTCTCTTTTTCATTGAACTATAAACATACTCAGAAACATTATTCCTTGTCTTTTTCTTCTTCCAAGAATTACTAGATGAAATGTCAATTGGCTTCTTCATAGAATTACTGGAATTAATCTCAATTGGATTCTCTATATCTGAAAATAGACGCAGAACAAAACCAAAACAAATACAATATTAATTCGATCATTTTAAAAAAATTTAACAACAAAACACTTTAACTTACTCTCCTTTTTCACGTCAACGCTTCAAAATTCTTCTTCTTCTTCTGATACTTCATCATCATCTATTTCGATAGGATGATCAACATAATTAACCATGAAATCAACTTTGTCCACATAATCATTTTCACAATCATTCTTCCTGAAAACCATTTTCTCCGATGCCATTTTATATTTCTTCTTGAATTTTGTATGCGAACTAACCCTATTCCTCTTTACTTTTGCATCTAACAACGCTTTGAACGCAAACATTAAGTTCAATAAAATAAAAATGCATAATCTGTTATTCCAGAAAATTTTAACAGAAAACTCTGAAGAAAATTTGTAAGAATGAAAACGTAATTCTTCATACGCCATCATGTAAACGGTTGCAAACATTTGAAAACTACCTCCACAACATTCGCCGCCGGTTAGATTGATATTAGATAACCTACATCGAAAAATTACATTAATAACCTTTAACTTAAAATATAATATAAATACTAATAAATAACTTCTGAAATCACCGAAAAAAAGAAGAAAACTACTCATATATACGTGCTTCATTCCTATTGGTTCTTTTCTTTTTCACATCTTCTTTTCATTTTTACTAGAACCCACTTATATATATATATATATATATATATATATATATATATATATATATATATATATATATATATATATATATATATATATATTGTAACGCATAAAATAAATATTTAGGTTCTCTTTTCATCTGGTTGGCTCCATTGAGTTAGACCAATTTAGAAAATAATGGTACGATTTTATCCGTCTTTGGTTCGAATTAATTCGATTTGGAACGACTAAATTGCGGTTTTATTGACAAAAGTAAAAAAAAAAAAAAAAAAAAAACTGATATAACCGGATTACCCCGTCCTGGAACCGCCACTGGCGGTTCCAGGACTGGTTTCAAAAATTTAAGAACCTGTTCCGGTTTCGGTTCTAACTTTCTATGAACCGCCGATTCTGGTTCCAGTTTCGGTTCTCGCCAAATGAGGTGGGTACCCCAACTATGATCATCCCTAAGAGAGAAACTAATTGTGACACCTCTATAAATAGTGGTTTGCATATCACTATTAAAATGTGCTTGAGAGATGTAACATTGAGAGTGTGGGTGTGAGCTATTTATTTGTCTAGATCTATCATATACTTTTTTGTAACTCCTTACATAATCAAATACATTTCTTAAACACCCAAATCACCATGTTCATTGTTCTTTACAATTTTGTATGTCAAATCAAATCACCAGAGTCTAACCATGAAATTCAAGCTATCTTTTCGGGAAACGGTTCTCGATTTGACAACAATCAACACAATTTGAACGATTTATGGTGAGTCTCTCAATAATCTCTTAGAATCGTGTTTTTGTTATCGATTGTGATTCGTTTTGATTCGACTGGATCATCTTCATTTTCTTGCCCAATTTTCTTGATCCTTATGTCTTGTTCACTTTTCAAGCACAAAGCCAAAATTAAAATCTCTTTGATTTTGTTATTGTTCATTCAGAGGGTGTTTGACATTGCTTTTTAAACAACTTTTAGACTTTTTATTTTTACGAAAAGTCAAAAAAATCTAAAAGTTATTTGGGAAGTTATAAAATATCTTTTGAAGTAACTTTTGGCAAAGAACAAAATCCTCCTCTTTCAAAAGTCATTCAAAAGTCATGGAAACGTGACTTTTGAAACAAATAGAAAGTAAATTACATTAATACCCTTAAACTTACCAATCATTAAACCCTCTTCCCACTCAACAACATTAAATGTCATTTTTGACTTTCAAAAGCTAATCCAAACTTAATTTAAAAAATTTCTTTTACCAAAAGTTTTTTTTTACCAAAAGTCCTTTTGCGAACTTTTGAAGCTAAAACTAAAAAGTAATCCCAAACATCCTCTCAATCCAATATTGAGCCAAGATTGAGATTTGTTACTGTTCATAGGATCCGACATTTGGCCCTTATTTCATTATCTGTTTCTTTTCGGATTATGTTTTAATTCAATGTTAAAATCTCTATTCACAATTTTATTCTTGAGGACGTTATCTGCTTATTCACGATTTTATGTCTTCAAGGATTGATCTCGATTGATTATTCACTTCAAAATCATGATATCTCGATTGATTTTCCGTCTTTGATTCAATCTTTCTTCTTGTTCATCCAAGCTTTTGCATCATGATCATACTTTAAATTCTTTGAAATATCAATCTCAATTCGGTATTGATATCAATTTATTCGGGAGATTGATTGTTTTGATTCAATTGGGCTTAGAATCAGTGATTAATGATCGATTAACTGTTTTGATCTGGAAAAGTTTTGAAAATGAAGAATTAGATGATGAACAGTTGAAGACGATGATGAATTTGTTTGAAATTAATCGTTCGATCTAAAAAAGTTATGGAATTAAGGAATCTGATGTTTATCGAAGCGAAGAAAACAGATCAAAGTGAAGTTGTTTTGACGATTGTGTGTGAGTCTGAATCAATTGAAATGTCAAACGGAAAAATCAAAATTGAAGGTTTTAGAGGTCACACAACTTGAATTGATTTTGATTCTATTCGCATTTGAATCTATTCACAAGTCAATGACGAGGTGCTGAAGTATGTCAATTAATTTCGAGTATAATTTGCACTTTTACGAATGAGTAAATTCGATTTAATGATTAAATGACAAAGTCAAACTAAAAAGTCAATATCGGAATTTGGTGAGTGCGTGTGTCAAGTATTTACATCTTTTAGCAATAACATTAACTAGATTATAACCCGCGTAAAACGCGGGGAACATATAAAAAAAACATATAAAAGTACAAAAAACTGCTACAATAATTAAAAAAAAAAAAAGATAAAGTGACAGAAATAGAATTAGTGTTATTGGTAACATTGAAATGTCTGAAAAAAAAAAAACAATGAAATATATGAATATCTATAATCTTTGTAGGGCCTCTTTGTAGAAAAAAAATTGTTTTATTAGTTGGACAACCTTCATCGTCAAATATAAGTAACTTCAAGCTTTTTTTACTTATGACGTGAGAACGGCATATAAGTAGTCATAAGTGAAGACCAGTCCACACAAATATAATTCAACATTATCAGTGAATCAACAACATATAATCTCCTTCATTTTTAGCCATAACAAAGTTACTTGTTTCTTTGATAATGACTGAATCAACCAACATATAATCTCCCTGAATGGGAGGGCTCCCATTGAATGGGAGGGCTCCCATTATGACATTATGTAGTTTTTCTTCCACTTGCATGCATGCTTCCCCAAAAGGAGGCTAGATAAAGTAAATGGCGGTAGTTTGGTAAAGTGCTCCTGTTTGTGGATTTTTAGTAAAATTGTTCGCTAGATCATAACCGGTGTACTACACGGTTGGTTGACATAGTAAAACAACATGAATATTATAAAAATTATACTTATTGATTGTACATTCACAAATATACAATTTATTTAAACAAAATTCAAATCTTTCAAATGCATTGGAATTAGAAAGGAATTCAAATATATAGTTTTGGCAAAAACTAAAATAGAACTTTGAATGACAATATTGTCAAAATTAACCTTTATTGGTTTTTGTAAATTATTATGTGTAATAAATATTTATTTTAAAATAGATTATAAACATATATGTATAAATATTTATACATATATCTAATCATATATAGTCAAATTATAAATCACATAAACAAACAAAATCAACAGATTTTAAAAGAATGTGTTTTAAGGGGTCTAGTATGAATATGAAGTGGCATATATAGGAAAATTATGACAACATAACTAAAGTCACTTATTTATTTTATACACCGTTATAAAAACAGAAGCAATAAATAGAATTAACAATAAACAAAGCAATTTGATACCTATTGACTTACATCAATTAAATCATACAGTTTATTCACTATATTAATCATACTACCGAATAAAAAAATCAAGATCATATTGTTACAATTGAGACCATAGAACAGATCAATGAAAAATTTATGAGGACATCATTAAAAGTCCTCCCTTACCTTGAACAGGGCAAGTTACTTTTCCATTTTTAATTGAATGTTACAATTTACATGGATCCAAGTTAGACCATTTAGCTACGATAAACCTCTATCATAGTTTTATAAAAATCAATCTAACAATGACCAGAAACTTCAGAACCTTGTGCAATCTATTAATGTCAAATCAAATAACATATCAATGTAAATGATCACATAATCACATATATTAACCTGTTTTATCCTGGTTTACAAAAGATAGACTCAAAAAAAAAACAGTGACACTGAGATAAATAAGAAGAAGTTACAGAAACCATTAAACTGAGATTTAATTACTAAGCATTTCCATCTTTGCATTACAATATTTTGAATTCAAATTTCAAAAAATTCCTAGCAATATAAGTAGAGTGCTAATTATAGCATTGTATTTTCAAAATTTCTTTATAAGGTCATTAGACTTTTAGAAACATAACATTGTAATATATTTTTTCCTTTATAACCAACTCCAATGTGGATATTAAGCAATAAAAAATTGTAAAAAGACATAACTAAAATACGTAAGATATTTTACTTTTGGTTCTCTGATAATTTTAGCATCTTACATTCTTTTAAAATGGACAAAAAAAATGAAATTGCATTCCCTGTTTTATAACAACTACCAAATTGGTCCCTCTTAACTGAAATTTACAAAAATGGTCCATGTTTTATAACTAATAATATCTATTTAATGAAATTTATCTAAATAGTTACTGTAACACAAAGTCACACACAGATACAGTAACACAAACCTACATACACACATGAACAATAACAGACGCACACAATATTTGGATTCGATAAGGATCACCTAAAAATCTAAGTTAATGAAATAATGAAAGATAATTTCAACAAATTTACCATTTTGGGGCAGAATTTCTTGATGAGATAAAAAAAAGTATATGTAATAATCAATAGCTTCTGAAAAAAAAAATATGGGAAAACAACAATAAAAATCTGAAAACAACAATAAAATTCAATGCAAAAGGTCTGGATCAACATATGAACTTATACTGTATTTTAGTTGATTGCTAATGAAGATTATGAATTTCAGTCTATAGAAAAACTACCAAACACCCAATTAAGAATTCACATGATAAGAATTTAAGCAATTAACAACAAATACGTCATACAGAGAGAAGGAGATAGGAAGAGAGACATACATCATATGCTTCACAGATGTGTTTATACTTAGCTTATGTTTCCTTCTTATTAGTAGGGTTCTTATCAGGATGCCACTTCATCGTAAGCTTCATGTGACCTTTCTTCAAATCATCGTTTTTAGCATTCTTATCCACTTGCATAATCTTGTAATAACCTACGCCCATGATCGTTTTTCATTTATTATGATTTATGATTGCTACAAAGATTGGGGTGTTCTGTTCTAAACCACTGCAATCACTGAAATCAGAAATAAAAAAAATCCCAGATTGTATCCAAAAAGTTATAAAAAGCCAGAAACCCACCAAAAAGCGAGTTCCAATGCATTCTCTTTTAATCAGTTAAACACTAACTTTCAACTTCAAGTTAAACTTTTAGGTCATTTGTAACATAAACCCACAATTATAGCATTGAATTACAAGTTTTTACCTTTGTTAATCTCTCTTTCAGTTTCAAATCTTCAGCTGCTGCCAACTCCTCTTTTTCTTCTTTTGCTTTTGCTCTTCTCTCAGCTCGTATTTGTGCCATTTGTTTAAAGTAATCACTGTTCACGACGAACATCAAGTTTGCTCTGTTTCAGTTTGGCCGTTTTATTCACCTTCAAAACCGAACAAAAATTCACAATTACTCAAACGAATATGCAAAATACACTTTTCAATTTGGCTGATGCGCTCCCCTTTCTTTTGTTCATCTCCATGGAATAAATGAAAGACATGTCCCAGATAAAAAAGACAATAATTTTGTGGTACAAAATGACATGAAAACATATGATGCATATAAATCTAGTGCATACAATTACAAGCATAAAAGGAAAAGGTCTCATAATCACCTCTCAAATTTAGTTTATTTGCATCAAGATGATCATAAAGCATTAATCATTCGCTTCATCTCAGTAGTCCTCCGAGGATCTGGATCTTCAATTGCTCTCTCGGTCAACACATGTTTGATTCTGCACATTGATTTCCTAACCTGCACCCACACATCACTTAACTTATTCAGACAACAACACTTTATACATAGAATAGCACCTGATTTATGGTGAAAATAATAATAATAATAATAATAATAATAATAATAACCTTAGGTAGGCGTTCAGGATTAGGAAAGCGCAAGTTTTGAGCATGAAGCATCTGGCGTTGAGTCATGAGCATGTTTTTTTCTTTGAGCAGGACATACCATAACTTATGTAGATCCTCCCATGACTTCAAACGTAGCTCTGAAGCCTTCCAGCTACGCCCTGAACAAAAACATGATTCAAATAGTATAATGAACAAAAAAGAATATATATATATATATATATATATATATATATATATATATATGTAAGTATCCTAAGAAACAGTATTCTTTATACTGAAGTTTAAATTATAAAAAAAAATAGAGATGTATATACCGTAGACAACAGGTTTGTCCTCCTCTGGGTTTCTATCAATCTCAAAGAACTCCTCAAGAGGGTTATGTGCAGTCCTAACTCTACTACCAGCTGCAGCCCCAGCAGCAGAAGCTTCTGATGTTGCAGTTGCAAAGAGTCTCCTTCCAAAAACTCGTGCCAAAAACATGAATGCTGCATCAGATTTAACAAAAGAATATTAAACTTTTATATGCTAACCATCCGATAGACTACACAGCTCGTGTCTCCCAACAATAGGGTTTTCACAGTTGTTTGTAGTTCACGATTTATATGAATTTAACCGAGCTTGCAACAAAGCCCCAAATGCAAAATTTGAACAATTTGTCGAACAGTTGGCAGGCATAAAACCAGAACAAAAGGAAACGTATAGAAAATGTACAAAAGAATAGAAAAAGTAATATAAATAGACAATTGTAACGATATTCCGGTAAGGAATATGTCATTTGCTCCGATAAAGGTAAAGTTTTTGCGTTTATGGTGACGGCGAGGTAGAACGACAAGCAATTAGTGACAGTGTTCGTTTAACTAAGAATAAACGTGATATGGTATGCTAATAGATAAACGTACCAAAATGAAACGGCGACCAAGAAACTATTTGGATGAGAGTATACAATCAATCAGACTCTGAAATGGCGACGCAAAGACAGAAAGGAACACTTCGAGATCGGCTGCAGAGACACCCCCTCTTTGCTTGCTGTCGCGAGAAGAGGTGTACGAAGGCGGTGGAGATTAGAAGACGTGTCATCTTGGCCGATTGAAGTAAAGCGAATGGTTTGCTTTTCTTTCTTAACGTTAGATCGGAAGAAGAGACAGACAGAGGAAATGACGAACGGAAGGCAACATTAGCCAACGGGTTTTTGGGCATAAGATGACGTAAGCAAATAATAAAGGTCTCTGAGTATAGGATTGAAATGTAATGAATGGTCCCGATTTCTTAAGTGGAGAATTTAACTGATTTCTTAAGTGGAGAATTTAAGGTTCTCCTTTAATAATATTTAGAGATTAGAAAAAATGGCAAAAAAACATTTTTTACAACATAATTGAAGGGTAAAATACAATGAATACCAATGTAGTTTCATTTATTTGTTTATTATAGCATTATACTTCCATTTCTCCTTATTACAACATCACAATTTTAATGCTATCCAATAAAAATATAATGCCATAATTGGATAGGATTCTCAAAATACAATGTTTTAATAAGAAAAAGAAACTAAAAGTATAATGTTGTAACAGAAAGAAATAAAAGTAGGATGCTCTAACATACAAATAAATGAAAGCATGTTGCTATTTTGCTTTTAAGCAAGTTTCTTTTATAAAATATGGAATTCACTAACATGAATTATCATGCTCTCGTCTGTTGTTATGCCTTTAAGAAAGTTTTTTTTAGCATCCAACTTTGAGCTTGCATCTAAGACATCTCTTTTTAATTCTAATAACCAAATCTCCAACTTTCTCCTCTTGTAAAACTAATTTGGTGGACCATTTTGAGGAAAAGCTGCTACTTTTAGCAAGATTCTTAATGACAACAACTGCTTTTAACACTCTTATTATTAAAGGATAGATGATGTAGAATTTAGCATACCCAATCAATAAAAACTCAAACTTTATATAGAAATCGAGCAAAGAATCAAATAATCATAGTAACTATATGTGTAAAGAAGTGAAACATGGAAAAGATTTAACAAAAGAACTCACCTTTAATTAGGAATGGAATCAATCTGATTACAGAAGATCAGTTTCCCAGAAAGTGCATCCGAATCTTGCTTTTTTGGGATCAAAACACGGAACCCAAAAAGAAGTAATATCCGGATTGTGCAAAATAACACCACATAATCAAGAATTTGACATGAGAAGTCATTTCAAGACTAACCATTTACGGTCAAAATTGAAGAACCCATGTTGAATTAGACTATATGACCATTATACCCTTACATCTTTGGTCTTTCTTGCTCCTGCGCTTACCATAATTAAATCCCATGAGTTCCTTGGATTGAATAGAAATGTAAGCTCTATCTGAACCTTCTAGTTTATTTCATTAAGATGTTTTTAATGATTATCAAGATTAGTTGATTGGACCAAGATAACTAATTATTATAGAAATTTGTAAGCAGCAAGATAAATTTATTGCACTTTCTAAGTATCAACCATAATTGAGAGGGAACCACAATCTAAGTGAAAGTACCTTTAATATATTGATTTAATCCAAGTCTTTAGTTTTAATAGTTTAGATTAAACTACATTTAATTGGATTTAAACAATTCCCCTTTTTTACTTTTTTGTTCCGTAGTTTAATTATTAGTTTTAGTTTCTCTTTTCTGAATCAAAATCATACACACTCCTAAAGTGTTCGACAACCCGATCGTACCTCAACTATAATAACATTAGATTGAGTACATTTGCTCAATTGTGTGCTACTTCTTAGTTTTGTTGAAACCATTTTATAAATTTAAAAACCTTATTTATTTTTAGTATATAAAAACAACACAATTCGGGCACTTCAGATTTTCTAAGACATTTCAGTATTTATTTCTCATTATATATCATAATTATTATCGCACCTACTAGTTGGATAGTATGTATTTTAGTATTGTATCACTGTATATCCAACATCATTTCCAAATATTTAAGGGATATTGTTAGAGTTGGAAACAGTCTCCAATGATGAGTGGTATTTAGGTTAAAATATTCTCTTGTGGTTTGTGAAATTCACTTCTCTCCTATAAATAGAGTAATAATTGGTCATTGTAAGCTTGCACCAAAATGTAGTCATTTTAGAGTAGAGAGAGTTGGCTGTGAATTCCATTATGTAGGATGTTTTATATTCTTTATGTTTATGAAATTATCAGATCACCCATCTCTTGTGTTTATTAGTTTTTATATCGATTCAATATATTATTATTTCGCACAAGTCAATCATCCAAACAGAATCCTAGAAACGTTTGTGATGTTAACAAAATGAATTTATTCTCGTGATTCTCTGTTGGAATCAAAAAGACAAAGCATCTAACCGTTTTATTAGTTGTCATTAACATGATACCTTATACAAATCATAAAAACCAATCATAAAATTTTATGTTATTAGAAAATTAACAAATCAAAAATTAAATTTAATTGAAGGGTCAACATGAATCTTTTGCAAACTAGAAAAAAAAATTAAAATTATTTTAAACGACGAATTGTCCGTATCATTTCATGGGTTCTAAAATGTGACCTTATCCCATGTGGGGCCTTGCTTTATCAAAATCTATAAACGGCCGTGGCTTCTTAGTTCGTTCCACACCTCTCTCTCTCTCTCTCTCTCTCTCTCAACAGTGGAAATGGCCGACGCTTTGGTCATTATTGCTGCCGATGTGATCCTGAAAAAGGTGGCATCGATAGCTGCCAACGAAATCGCCCTTGCTTGGGGTTACAAAACGAAGTTGCACACACTTGAACAGACCTTGAAAATGATTCGTGCCAAGTTACAGGATGCCGAGAATGAGAAAGGTCTAAAACATGGTGTGATGGAGTGGCTGAAACAGCTCAAAGTTGTGGTTGGTGAAGTTGATGATGTGTTGGATGAGGTTGACTACGAAATATTGAGACGTGCGATAAAGAATCGAGATCGGGTGGCAATAAAGGTAACCTCTCTCCCAAGTTTGAAAAAGCTTTTATTTCGTAGGGAAATGGGTCATAAAATAAAAAAGGTTAACGAAAAGTTGTCTCAAATCAATAAGGACGCAAACGATTTGGGACTACAAAATGAACACCGTGGCCCTGCTGTTCCAGATCGTCCATACCCGGAGACAGATCCATATTTAGGAGAATTCAAAATTGTTGGTAGGGAGGATGATGAAGAGCGCATCATACACCTTTTAACCGAGTCAAGAAAAGAAGAAAAACTTACGATTGTTCCCATTGTGGGAATGGGCGGGATGGGGAAGACCACTCTGGCTAAGTCCGTCTACAATAATCCAAAAATCCAGCAACATTTTGAGGTTAAAGCTTGGTTGTGTGTGTCGGTTAAGGTTGACATCAAGACACTTCTCTCAAATATCTATGAATCTCTTGCAGGAGAGAAACCTAAGTCGGAAACTATGGTCAATTTAGTTCGAGATCTTGAAAAGAAGTTAGGAGCAAAAAGATATTTGCTAGTCCTGGATGACATTTGGGATGAAGAGAGATTATATTGGGAAGATTTTAGGAATGTTATGATAAATATGAATTCACAAACCGGAAGTAGCATTCTTGTCACTACCCGGAAACTTGAGATCGGAACTAAGGCTATGATGATTGATTCGTGTCCTTTAAAAGGTCTTTCTGATGATCATTGTTGGTGTATCTTTAAAGAGAGGGCGTTTCTAGCAGGACAATCACCACAACCCGAATTGGAGGAGATAGGGCATGATATTGTGAAAAAGTGTCGTGGTTTGCCATTGCTAGTAAAGGTAATAGGAGGGGTGTTGCAAAATTACACTGACGACCTAGAGAAGTGGTTGTCCATCAAAAATAGCAAAGTTTGGGATCTAGAAGTTGAAAGGGAGAGAACTCAAAAGAGTTTGGAACTGAGCTTTGATAATCTTCCCAGTTCTATGGCCAAACAATGTTTTGCATATTGTTCCATCTTTAAGAAAGACACGGTCATGGAAAGGGAAGAACTCGTCCAACTTTGGATGGCTTTAGGGTTTGTTCAAGTGGACGAGGAAAAAAACAAGGAGATGGAGGATGTGGGAAATGATATTTTTCAAATTTTGGTCAGCAATTCGTTGTTCCAAGATGTTGAAAGGGATGAATATGGTCACATCACTCGTTGTAGCATGCATGATCTGGTGCATGATCTTTCATTATCACTTTCCAAACATGAAAGCTTATGTGTGATGGGTGCGATGAATGATGATATTGATCGTATTCCTCAAGTTAAACATCTCGCTTTTTATCAAGAGCAGAACAAGGACTACGAATTCCAAAACAAGGTATCCTTGTTCATTGAAAGGGCTAAGACAATTGAAACTTTGCATACATTCTTCCTCGATCATGAAATTGGAAAGACTTTTTCATTTCAACAATTCAAGTGCATGCGAGTCCTTAAACTCACAACACATAAATTGGAGAAGTTAGACGATTCGATTGGAGATTTGGTGCATCTAAGGTATCTACATTTATCATATCCCGGTATCACTGTTCTTCCAGAATCTATTGGTAAACTATACCACTTGCAAACTCTGAAGTTACAACATTGTCATCTCAAGACGTTTCCAAAATCCATGAGAAATTTGATAAGCCTGCGGAATTTCATGTCTACCAAAAGTCTTCCCGCCAATATTGTGGGACAATTGATTTCTCTTCGAAAATTGCCTTCCTTCACAGTGCTTAGAAGGAAGGGACACGGTATTGAAGAGCTACACCATTTGAATAACCTTAGTGGAAAGCTCTGTATTTTTTATCTTGAAAATGTTAGGAGCAAAGAGGATGCTGTCAAGGCAGACTTATCTAGAAAGAAAAATTTATACGATATTCAATTTAGTTGGAGTAGGTACTACGAAGATGGAGATTATACAAACGTAATGGATATATTGGAAGGCTTGCAACCCCCACGAGGTGTGAAAATATTGACAATTAAGAATTTTTCTGGTGATAATTTTCCAGCTTGGGTAATGAAGATGGCTATCGATATCAAAGGGAAATCAACACCCCTTGATAAGCTCGTGTCAATCACATTATCTGGATGTAGGAGTTGCCTCTCTCTTCCAACGCTTGAGCACCTACCACATCTTCGGGATCTTGTGTTGGAGAATATGGACAACTTGACATGCTTAGGAAGTTCCAATGTTACTGGATCAATAAAACCTTTGTCTCCATCGTTGAGATCGCTCAAACTATTTGGTATGAAAAGACTGGAAAAGTGGATAGATGGAGCAACCAACAGCTCAAAAATGATTTCACCTGTCCTTGATAGCTTGGTAATTATCGATTGCCCAAAGATTATTCTCTTAGATGAATGTCATCCCCATCCTCTTGTTTCCTTAAGGATATGTTACTGCACAAGTCTGATATCCATTAAGAGCATACAAGGCCTCACATCTCTCGTGTCTTTTGAAATTGTCATGTGTCCTAGTCTTTTAGAAATAAGCAATTTGCCCAACCAATGTCATTCTTTGAAGACTTTGCAAATTAAGCATTGTGACAAACTGACTTCCTTGCCTCACCAAATGTTTGACTGTTTTGTTTTCTTAAATGAGTTGGAACTTGGTGTGTTCTCGGAGGAGCTCGCTTCTTTCCCGAGTCTTCAAGGCATTGAGAAGCTAAGGGAAAACCTTCACTCGTTAGACTTGAGAGGTCGGTATCACTGGGAGTCAGTGCCAGAAGAAATACAACACCTCACTTCACTCACTGAGTTAACCATAAGAGGATTCGGAATGCGAGAACTGCCCATGTGGTTAACCAGAATGTCATCTATCCGACATTTGACGTTCCATGAATGCAAGGGGCTAAATAAAGAAACAGTTGTACGTGGAGCACCACCAGAAGCAACTTATGTTGAACTATATAATTGAGAGTGTTATTTAAATAGTTATTTGAGTGTGTTGTGGTAGTGTATAGATATTTTTGTATAAGTGACAAGTACAAAAGATGTGTAAAAGTCCAATGATTCTATAAATTTGATACTTACACTTTTTACTAAATGTCGCAAAATTCTTTTGGCTTATCACTTATGGCTACCGATTGTTTAATCGTAGTTGATCGCATGATGGCTCTCGTCCGTAAACTTAATAACTTATCAATACGGTCTATAATTTTAATTTCAATGATGTATTAAGTTTATTATCTTCTAAACACAAATACGGATCAAGATGTACTGTTTTAACAGGTTAAGATTTTATTGGATAGTATTGGACTCGACACTCCCAACAAAATGGATATGCTGGTATTGTGTCATATCCCATCTCAATAACTTATACTGTAATTTACTATAATTTAATAAGCATAATCCATTTGTCTTGATTTCCGAATGATGTACAAGGAAATGGAAAAAGAATCAACTGTCTTTTCAATTTGACAACAAACAAATAGCTAACTATTGTTAGTGACGGATTTGTATTATTTTAGAAATGGACTTACAAATTAACCACACAAAGGTAAAACAAAACCATACATGTACACCTCTAGTAATCAACCCTCAACTATTTAATCCTCCGTCATATGCTATAGGTTTCACCTTGTTGCTTGGCCCATTTGGAACTTTCTCTAGTCATAGTCAAACTCACATATCTTCACTCCACCTGCCAATAAACTTGCAACCAATATATTAATGTTTGTATGTCATTGATTCAATAAACCAACATTGTTAGGCTAAACAAAAATGCTTAAAAAAAGAGCAGGTTTGTATATAACAATTAACAGTAGTAAATTTCAATCTCAACTTCAATATAAACTAAGAGCATAAGCTGGAATATCTTGCTCATATCATATAGAAAATTGTCAAATTACTTTTTATCAATTAGGTTATATAATTGTCATTAACATTTTATACCTTATGTAAATAGTTATAAAAAAATATTTGGCATTTGGAAACATAATCTTATCTTATCCGGATCAATGTTTGAAGTTGTTGTTACATGGTCCCCTCAGCCAAAGTGGGCCAAATGATATTAATTAGGCTGTGGTTTGATGGATTTTACGAGAGGAAGAAAACATAAGTTTTTATTGATACTCCAAACAAAAATACAAAGGAAAATAAATAAGGATGCCATGACCTACATCCCTTAAATAGATCCTCTAAATATGGAGAGGATAAAAAACAATCAACAATAATAATAAAATATGAGATCCTATATTCCCCATGAAGCATGCAAATTTGCAATGCTAATCTTGCCCAAGAAATTGAAGTTGTTGTGTTGTTAGCTCCTTTGTCAATATGTCTTCTATTTACATCTTGCTGTTGATATGCATGGGAATAATCTCTTTGGATTCAATGTTCTCGAACAAAATAACAGTCCATCTCTACATGCTTAGTTCTTTCATGAAAAACCAGATTGTTAGCTATATGACGAGCCGCTTGATTATCACAGAATAAAGGCGTGGCCAAGGAAATGTCAACATGTAGTTAACTAAGCAACCAAACGAACCCAAATAACTTCAATGACTGTGGAAGATAAAATAACCGACTTCGGCTGAAGATCGCGAGACAACATAATGTTTCTTGGTTTTCTAGAAGATGTGAGTCCCACCTAGTAAGAGAAAATAACCGGTACGCTAATGTCTCGTAAGGAAACATCCTAACCAGTCAGAGTCACAATAAGCAGTTAAAACAAGATCCCCTGACTGGGAGAGAAGAATGCTTTGGCGTGGTGTGGCCTTTAAGTATCTAAGTAGACAATTTGCTGCCTCCAAATGGTTGTTTCTTGGATCAGCCACAAACTAGCTTAAGACATTGACAGAATAAGTAATGTCTGGTCGAGTGGCTTGAAGATACAAAAGCTGGCCAATTAAACGGCGATATTGATTTACATCAATGCTCGGTTCATTCTCTCATTTGTCTAGTTTCAAGCCTTGCTCAATGGGAAAAGAACTTGGTTTGCAACCTAATTTCCCACTATCCTTTAAAATGTCTAATGTATACTTTCGTTGGCTTAAAACTAGGCCATCACTTGTTTTGGCTACCTCTATCCCATGAAAGTATTTTTAATGGACCAAGATCTTTCACTTTGCCAAGTTGTTTCTTGACTTCTTGAATTTTATTGAGACAATTTCATGTAATAATTACATTGTCCACATAGATTTTAACCATTGTTATACTAGCGGTTTCATAAATGAATAAGGAGTGATCAGCCTTGGACCATCTAAAACTAAAGCCGATGAGGAAAGTGGTGAAATTGTAATACCAATTACGTGAAGCTTGCTTTAATCCATATAAAGATTTTATTAGGCGACAAACTCGAGTCTAGCCATCTTCAGAGAAACCTTGAGGAATTTTCATGTGAACTTCCTCATCTAGATCCCCATGCAAGAAGGTGTTTCTCACGTCAAGTTGATGAATAATCCAATCCCTTTTTATAGCCGCTGCTAATAAAGTCCGAACTATAACTAGCTTAGCTATCGGTGCGAACATATCGTGATAATCCACCCCCTCCATTTGAGTGAATCCTTTTGCAACCAAACGAGCCTTGTATCTTTCAACATCACCATTCGGTTTGAATTTGTTTTATAAACCCATTTCAAGTCTATAGCTCGTTTAACTTTCGGTAAATCTTCCAAGGTCCAAGTTTCATTTTTCTCCAAAGTTTTGATCTCCATTTGCATGGCTTCACGCCAACGAGCATCTTGGGCAGCTTGTTTAAAATATTTGAGCTCATCATTATTAGTGATAGCCCATAAAAAACATTATGATTAGTAGAAAACTTATCATAAGAAACAAAATTAGAGACAGGGTGACAAACCGTAGAGGCGAATTGATTGGATGTCGATGTCGGGTGTTTGACCGAAGGGGGAACTTGTACAATAAAATATTTGAATCTCGATGGTTGAGTTCTGGTTCTAATGGGACTGGTTTCAGCTTGGGCTTATGTTCCTTCGTTTGATCATTTGTTTCTATTGTGATATATCGAAGATGGTTGGATTGAGATTGTTGATGGGTTCTGTGCAGGTTTCTTATCCTAATATCACAATGCAAAAGAGAAAGATGATCGTTAGTCGACGTCTGGGAGGAATTCCCGGGACGAAGCTCCGACGATCAAGTTAGAATAAGGTCTGAGAGAAGTAAGAGTAAATCACAGGAAAAAGAGTTTTGTCCCTTTCTTCGTGAGGAAGAAGGATCCTTTTATACCTGTTTGAGAGGTGTGTGCCTCTCAACTGATTTTGTTGAGCATTCCCTCGTGAGGTGCGACGTGGCGGACCCATATTGGAGGATCCCCTGTCACATCTTTTTGCCTCATCCCTTTATTGGCTAGAGGGGAATCTTTAATATTATGATGACCGTGGCTATCGTCAGATGGACAGTTGGAACTCTCTGATTGGTCCCACGTTTGTCGGGGTGTTATTCCTTGGAGAAGAGGTTAAGGTGCGGTTCTGCATCTTAACCGCCATACCGATGATCTTCGCATTTGTGAAGGCCCGACCTTGGCCTCGGACTAGGTCAAACTGGGTTTTGACCAGGCCAAGCTTGGCGTTAGACTTCTCCTTTTTTGACGTTCTTCCTAAGGGATACGTTAACAGTTTCAAACTCATCAATTATTAGGATGCCCTTCATCATTTATTTGTCATGTTTCTTTTGGATTTGGTTTGTAAGCCCATAACTATAATTGGTATGTACTTGACCCGATAGTAGCATGGTCCATTTGGGTTGCCTTCACCGGAGCAATTTGATAGGATGGATATTTGAGAAAGAGGTTATTTGTGATTTATTAACATATTATAAATATAATATATTAATTGAGAAATCATAATATTTAATTGGTATTGATCAAGAATTAATTTGGAATTAATTCAGTGATCAAACGAGACTAATTAAATTAATGAGGACTGATTATGTAAATCAGTGATACATATAGTTTGGGCTAATGATCCATGATTGATTAGTAATGGACTAAGCTTGTGTGAGAGTCCATGATGTGTTAGTCCAAATGAGTTATTGGATTAAAAGCCTAATGAATGAATTAGGGTTTACAAGTGACCCTTGGAATTCTACACTATAAATGTAACCCCTAAGCCCTAAAATCAGATACAAGGAGTATTCTAAGAAGAAGCTAGCCGATTTTGGTGCCTCCAAGCTCTCTCTCATTGTCCTCCATAGTTCTTCGTGTTTGTGACTTGTTTGAGGCATTACATTTGAGGTGCTAACCTCTTGTAAGACCAAGTTCTGCAAGCTACAACAAAGAGGTAATCATCTTACTTGTTTTTATGTTTTAATTATCAATGTTGTATGCTAGTTAGACTTCATGCTTTGGAAAAATGAAAATTACATGTATAACTTGAGAAAACTTAGATCCAAAGCATTAGGGTTGTATGTGCACCTTAGGGATGTTATAATGCTCAAAACCCATCAGTGGTATCAACGCCTAGGGTGTTTTCTGTTATATTGATGCATTGGTTAATTGTTCAAAGTTGAAGCAAATTGAAAACTGCACTCTGACTGCTGGACTCGACGAGTCCTATGAAGAACTCGATGAGTCCATTGCCAGACTCGACGAGTTGGACAGTCTGTTGGCAGATTTTCGGGTTTTTTGGCCCGAATTGGATTAGGATCATTACCACAAATTGTTTTGTATCATAAACTCCGATTTTTCTGATATGGTAGTGATTATCCTCATCCAATTAAAAGATAATTGTCAAAATTTTAAGATAGTTGCTAGTTGATATGATAAGCTAATTATTTGTATTATTTGATTTGAAATTATATTGCTATATGAGTTAAATTAGGTCAAATTGGTAAATGATAAATTATATGATTATTTTATTAGTTTAAAATTTGATCTAAATGGTTTTGAAGAGTTTCAAAACTTGCCCTCAAGTTATGGAATTTGAAAAGTCTCATTTATGACACATTAAATTCTAAAATTCAAGAGGTTTTGAAGAGTTTCAAAACTTGCCCTCAAGTTT